TTTCACCAAACTGGCTTGAACCTGAGGCTGGGGCTACTGTACCTTTTTGGGGGGCTTAAGCAAATTTGTTTTGATTTCTGGCTATAGACAACAGCACTTGAGGAAAAACCCTTGCTGACTGCATCTGTGGTTTGTTTCTGCTGAGTCATTCCACCAGCTCTCTCTCTCCCGTGCTCTCTCTCTCTCTCACACACACACACACACACACACACACACACACACACACACACACACACACACACACACACACACACACACAGAGTGGGGAGGGAAGACAGTTTTCAACGTATGGTAAATTAGCCATAAATACCAATTTAAAGTTATGCAGCTACATCAACAGATACATGTTTGACAACCGACTCCCAAAAGTGTTATTACTACTGTGATATTAACAGAAAGAATATTTGTTTCCTTATCAAAAACAAGCTTGTGTTACCAAAACAAAACAAATCACAGACTGTGAAATGTTGACTAGACCTACTAATTGTGAAATTCAACCCTGCTCTCCTGTCTGAAGATACCAGAAAGAGTTAAAAGAAAAAGAGAAACATTATTTTTAAATCAAACTCAGGATTCTTTAATTACAACCACAACCAGCAAATACAGAACAATTATCCCTTACCAATAAAATAAATCCTGTAATGTTTCAGAGTAATGCTCCAAAAGAAGTTGTATTGAAACATGTGTGCATGCACTTTATATTTCTATTTTCAATATTCTTATTCACAATAAACTCCCCATTCTCAGAGCTCCCATTGACATCACTCGGAAATATGCCCATGGAGCTCTTTCAGAAATGGCTCACAACTTAGTGGAAGATGGGAACGTAAAAGAAACATAAGCAAAGAGCTCGAGCCTGTATTCTTTGTGCACTCATTATTCCCACTGAAAACAAGATGCAGGAGTGAGTACCAAGGTAGTTAACTTCCTGTACAACTATGACCCACCTCTCATGCAGACTAATTGCAGTAACTGGGTATTTCTTATGAGCTGTCGACCATATTCTGATATCTGTGTAACCCCATGGAAGTCAACGGAGTTGAGCAGATGTAACCAAGGCTAAAGTTTGGCCCTATGTGTACAAAAAAAAAAAGGAGGGAGGGGATTATGTGATGTAACTGACACTATTGGGAGGGTTCAAAGAACAATAAAATACAACATTAATAATATAAAACAAAAACAGGAGAACATTTGTTGTATCCAAATAGCCATCTGCTTCTATCAGATGTTTATATCTAAAACAGTCCAATCAAATGGTATTGTTTTTGCTCCTTGGGAGATTCTTTTTCCTTTCCTAAATTAGGAGATTGGCATCACGGCAAGTGGAATTCCATCTCTCAAACCTGTGGGAACACCCTTAGGAAAGTAATCCTATCTAACTAGTCTGCCATGCCCCTACATTTGATAACAAATGGTCTTCAGCACCTGGGGGAAACAGAAAATCAAAACAGAAGCTTTATGGCCAAAGAAGAAATTGCCTTGGAAAATGATCTCACAGGAATATGTCTGCCCCACAGATGATGGGGGAGAAGGACAAGGCATGCTTAGGACAATGCAGGAGGGCAAAAGACCACTTTGACATTCTCTTGCTGGCACCATTTTGCTCATCTCAACTTGGGGCTGTTGTTTAAAGCAGTGGTTCTCAACCAGTGGTACGCAGAGATCTTCCAGGGGTACATCAACTCATCTAGATATTTGCCTGGTTTTACAACAGGCTACATAAAAAGCACTAGCAAAGTCAGTGCAAACTAAAATTTCATACAGACAAAATGAGAAAGTAAGCAATTGTTTAGTAATAGTGTGCTGTGGCATATTTTTATGTCTGATTTTGTAGGCAAGTAGTTTTTAAGTGAGTGAAACTGGCGTATGCAAGACAAATCAGACTCCTGAAAGCGGTACAGTAGTCTGGAAAGGTTGAGGACCACTGGTTTAAAATGAAGGATCTCCAACATTTGACAGAGGGTTTTATTGGCCAAATGTGCATGCGTAACGCCTCTCAGCTCCATAGCTGCTGGAACTAGCAGTGCGGGGGGTGCTACCGCACCCCCTGGATTGAAGTGGTTTCCATTATATTCAGGGTTTACAGTTTGGTTCAATGGCGCTCAACACCCCCACTATGAAAATTGTTCCAACACCCATGCTCAGCTCCCATTGGTAATGTTCAGCTCATTGCAGGACTGGGCCCGAAAGAGATATTTGCTGTTAGAGGAGTTATCAAAGGCCCCATCCTAACCCCATTGAAGCCAATGAGAGTTTTGTCCTTTAAACAAGCATCTGTTTAGCATTAAAAACCATGGACAAACGTCCTTGTGGTTGAGCCTGTTTATTTTTGGTTACAACAGATTCAGAACTTCACTACTGAAAATCTCTGAAGAAGTTTTCTATAGTTGGAGACGGATTCTGTTCCCATTGATATCAATGGCAAAGCTAACTGACTGGGAGCAGGATTTGGGACCATAACTGGAATTGTATAGCCACATACCGTACATATTTAGGTACACACATCACATCATCATTCGCAAGTAGTTCTGCTGAGAATGCTGAACTCATTACAGAAAACATGACAACATTTCACCTCTTGAGCTTGAACTAATTTCCCCCTTCACAGGATAAAAGCAAAGCAAAACCCATAAATGGTGCTTTTCAAGTCTTGGAAACGTGTAGTAAGGAAGCCTTGTTGCCATGCTTCAAAGTAATCAGCAACAGACCTATATACACACACAATAGGCAACTGATTGCTATTGCATGTTAAAAAAAAAAAAATCTCTCTCGCACTTACTAAAACTTTGCCATAATGTCATAAATGAAAGAAGCATTTCTATTAGCAACAACAAGGCATCAAACAAAGAATTATGCCCTGTAGCAATAATCAAGACTGATTATTTTTTCAGTTTTCCTTCTGTTAGGGAGATCAACGTTTTGCACAGCGTCTTCTAATTCATATTGTAAGTCTCTAGAAACCTCTGGTCTTTCTGATTGTTCTAAGACACCATAATAAGATCTGAGTCTGTTACCAGATATGAAAATAGCTATGTACCTGGAATATTTTTTCTAAATCACAACACAATACACAGACCCTGCAACCATACAACAGCATGTTATCAACTCTAAAATGCAAAATAAGCAATACCAGTGATTCTAGAAGAACTACTAGTAGGATCAGGTGTACGTAATTCAAAAGGTATTAGACTTAATGAGACTTCACAGTTTGTATAAGAAACCTCAGGTTGTAGTTTTTGCATTAGTAGATTTATTTAACAAAATATCCTTACCAAATTCAATTTTCTGCCCAGATTTATCTTTCAAAATAGTGCTGGGTGGTTTAATAGTTAAAAATAAAATCTCAGATGTATATTATAATTTCTGATCCAACCAGCAAACCATCAATTTCAAGCAAATAAATTCTGTAGGTCTCAAATACCACTTTTATTTCAAGGTTTCAATGAGTTTCAATCAAATGCAAACCCTCTGTTAATCCAGTGTTAAGGTTGCAAATAGAAATACACCCAAAAATACAGGAAATGAAAAAGTTTATATTCTCACTGCAGTGTTTATTGACTAAAAATACAGACATTGCTTGTAGTAAAATACACATTTGGCAGCCTAACTAGAGATCAAAAACTACAGATTTGTAAATGTGAATGAAGTAATCTTAGAGCAAGAATCATAATCTTTCTATTCCCTGACTTTAGTGAGTTTTCATTTGCAACTTTAAAGTTGCACTCATATAGGGGTTTGCATTTAAAGTATTTTGGGTTGTTTTGGGAGTTCTTAAATTTGTTTTAAAGATAGAAGAGGGAAAAGGAAAATCCTTACCTGTGCAACCGTGGAAACACAGAACTGTGGTCTGTGCACAAATTTTTTCTCCAATCAATAGGTTTTAAATCATCCAATCTTTAGATACACAAATAATATTAAGTCTGGCACTATACAACTGCACTATAATCGTGCTGCAACTTTGAAGTGCCACTGGCAATTATGTAACAAAAAACCTTTTTAAAAAAATACTTCACTGCACATAGACAAAACTCATTTAAAATATTTTTACAAAGAAATTACAGGTATAAACTCATATGACCACTATTCCTCACTGAGGACTGGCGGCCTGTAAATTCTAAAGCAGTAACATTCGAGCCAGTTTTTAGCTATTCAGGCACAAACAAGTCCTTAATATCTTCCTAGCAGAAAATGTATTTATCCTCCCCCCCCTCCCATTTTGATAACTCAAGAATGAATTAAAAGATTTTCTTCATGCATTGAAAAAATAAATTGATCTATGGGCTGAGACCAAGCATCAGAAGTTTAAGAGTAAAATGAGAAATTTTGATTGCAAGAAAGTTGTGAGTGGGTGGGGCGGTATGTAACTTGGCCTTGTAAACCTTTTTGTAACTTTATTCCAGGGCAACACAGAAAGAGGTCACTGGCTCAGGAAGGATGTCAAAACATTCCAACTCAAGTCAACATATTGAAATTCTAAAATCACTAATAGGAGAACTCAGAATAATTAACATCTCCTGGGAATTGTAACCAACCTATATTTCTATTGAAAGGGTGGTATGTTAGTTAATATCATGTGTTCTAGTAAAAGATTATCAGACTGATACAGGGGCTTTCATCTGAATTATTACATGGGACATCAAGCTAGGGAACTTAAACTCAAACTCGGGTACTCCTGAAGAATTTAAAAAACCCAGATAACTAAAAACCTTTGTAGTCCACATCAGAGGCTGTCCACCAGCACTGTATACATGAACACAGATATAGCGGACAGGTCACCAATGTAGATCTGAAAGGATGGGAATTTTTTTAGGTTGGCTTTGACAATTAACACTCGATTTCTTTTCAGAATGTCTTCTTGTGTTTGCCTAACACAGAGATCCTCTTCCCCCTCCCCCCCCCCCAAGAAGTGTCAGCCATAAATCCTACAGAAGAGGACAATAGCCAAGGCACAACGAGAGGCTGCTGGATGTAAAGAAAAGAAGAAAGAAATTGCTCCTTACCTTTGGAAAAAGCTGCTGCCAGGCTGAGGAGGAGCGGTGACAGGAGCTGCCACATATTGCCCATCCTCATGCTTGGGTCTGCAGGGAACTTAGGGTTCTATTTCACACACTTTGGAATCAGAATAAAAGCCAATCAGCTGGAGAGGTGGCATGTTCCGAAAAGGTCACCTGGAGAGCGCAGAAGGCATTCCCTTCGCGGAGATGAACTGTTTCTTCAGTTTCGTTTTTGAACCCTCCCTTCCCCCAGAACGGCCGGGGCGAGTCAACCAAATCCACCCGCCAACAGCCGGCTGCAATACATTAAACTCTCCCGATGGAGCTAGATCTTCAGTCCTGAGCCCCGATCGTCTAAAAAGTGAACAGCTCCCCCGGCTCCTCTCCCTCCGCACACATCCAAATAAACACAGCCGCACTGGGATCTCCAGGCAAACGACCTCACACGCTAGCACAGGGCGCTATTGGGGGGGGGGACACCCACACACACTTCCCCTTCCACTCTTAGCAGGAGCCTCCCCCACCGTGCTCAGGAGAGCGGCTTTATTGTAGAAACCCGGCCCCCACCTCCCCATTGGGAAAGCACGTTCCTTCGCGGCGCGGCGCGGCGCTAAAGTTTCCCTGGAGGTGGTGATGCTGATCAGCCCAGAAGCCAGGCAGGCACCGAGGGAGGGAGGCTGGGGTTTAGTTCTCTCTCTTTTCTCCTTCCCTTTTTTCCCCCCCCCCCCCCCCACCTCCGGAAGGTCGCTGCTATCGAGTCTCTAAGGCTTTCGGGGAGGCTGGAAGGAGCAGCGGCGGCCGAGGGGGAGCTGGAGACTCAACAGATGCCGCAGAAGTTGATCTAGACTCGGGATGCTGGTCCCCGGCTCCCAGCTCCTACCTCCTCTGGTCCATTGTAGTTTTGTTTTTTTTTTTTTTAAGCCAGCGGGTTTCGCGGAAGAATCAAAGAGGAGGAGGCACCCGACACAAATAAATACATAAAAACTCACAGAGCCCAGCCTCTAACTAGACAGCCAGACTCACCAATCCACGTGCAGAGGGCAGGGGCTGGGTGGAGCTACTGAGCCCACCCCCCCTTGGTACCCGGACAATCGCAGCACAGGTGGGCGGAGCGCAGACCGAGCCCCCCCACCAGCACTCACTAAGCCAGGACCCTTCTAGGGCATCGCAGGGGCTGGGGAGGCGCTGGCTGGCTGGTTAGCAAGCACCGTGGCGAACCAAGGGAGATTTTTATCATCTCAGTCACTGCAGGAAATAAATAGGTACATTACTCTCCCCCCCCCCCCTCCGGCGATCATGTAATTATTGCACTTTCGTGTAGAGAGAAAACGGAAAAGTTGAAGCCTGCCAGAGTTTGGCCCCAGCCCTCACAAAATCCTACTGGTTGAATGCATAACAAGTCTAGCTGCTCCTGTTGTACCAAACCAGACTGATAGAGCCTGTCGTAGAAGAACCACACACAAAAAAATTCAGACTTTGCCTTAAAAATCCAGACTCTGGGGCTCCCACATGAAATCCGGCACCTGGACCCACAGCACCATAAAAAATCAGATCTAGAATCTGGTTCCTGCCAGATTTTGGCTCCAGAATCAGTAATTGTACTTTTGAAATAGGACATAGGTGTTGCTTTTACTACCACCAAAATCTGGATCCTGGCTGGTAGAAGAAACTCTAATTTGGCAGGTGTATATTACCATATGTGGTTGGGTTTGGTCTGGCGATTTTGCAGCTATACTGAACACTGTACAAATGACACTGACACAGCAACAATATTAGCTATACTTATTCTAAATAATTTTAATAATGTGTTAGAAACAATTCTCTGATCTAAAATGTTCCATAAATTACTAACTGTACAAATTGTTAAGTCTGTAGCTACATTTTTTCACCCCCTTTGGTCAAGGATAATAATCAGGTCATTATTTCTTTAGCAGATGGAACAGCAGCAAAATCAAAACACAAAAGCTCAAACTAAAAATATTGTAAGGGCTGGCAGGCTGTGTGTGCTCTGATGGAGTAGGAACTCGATAAAAGATGTATGGCTTTTCTTGTCATATTAAAATCCCCATCACTGTAGCTTTAAAATGGGTTTATCAAAATAAAACCTCTTCTAACCCTGGGACTTGCTGTGTTACACTTTCTATTTGCTAAGAAATAGCTATATGATCAACCATGCAATAGGGAGAGGTTGCATTTCATGTGTGTGCATTTAAAAGTTCATTTTGGTTTTAGAGGTATTACCAGTTTCAGAGATGGTGACAGGTTTCAGAGTGCTAGCCGTGTTAGTCTGTATCAGCGTTCAGTTTCAGAGAGATTCCCTAAACCCTTGGACTTCAAATGGAAAATACCTCTACAACTGGTATTATATCTAAAACTGAATTGAACTTTCTAAGTGCATCCACTATAGGAGGAGAGGTAAAAAAGGCTACTGACTATATCATCATCTATATCTATATATAGATATATATCTACCAGGTTGCTCAAGATGGATGAATTCTTGTAACCAAAGTCTCCCATATGGTTGTATGGTAATAGTCTGATTTGAGTGTTCAGTGACAAAACACAGGTGGACCCAGCCAGATTCAAATGGCCAAATTCAAGAGTACTGCAGAAACATGTACCAGGAAATGTTGGGATCCAGACATAGGTGCTGGAACTGCAGCACCCCCTGGCTTGAAGTGGTTTCCATTATATACAGGGTTTACAGTTTGGTTCAATGGCTCTCAGCACCCCCACTATACAAATTGTTCCCGCACCCCTGGATCCAGATAATGCTGGTGGATTAGGTGGAGTTGAATAGATAATACATTTAGGCAGTACAAGTATGTGTGTTCTGGGAGACAGGGGAATGTCACCAAAAATGTGTTGCATCCAGCAGGATACAGGTTTACGTATTTTTTTTAAAATATATATTTTTGCAGCTGTCAGGGACCATAGTGTGTTGGGAGCCAGATTTGTTACATGTTTATTTGATTGATTAATTGAGTGTGCTATTGTACTGGGGCACATTCAAGGCCAGATTATTAAAGTGCAGTAGCAGCAGCTAAATACATTCTCCATTTAGTCAGTGGAATCTGGGCCCAAACGGGCAGGAACCAGGTGCCAGGTCAAGATTTTTGCAGCACTATTGTACCAGAATGCATCAGGGTCTGTTTTTGTTTTGTTTTTTTAAATGTGCAACAGAAGTGGCAAGGTTTGGTCATCATTTAGGCAGGGCTGGGCCCAGGATCCTCGTCTTGGTTTGATATGTGTCAATGCACCCTGAGAAATAGAAACCACAAAGAGAACGGGATACAGCAAGGCCTGCCCTGCTCCACCCTCCAAAATGTGGCACATAATAGTCTTTTGGAGGGGGGAAGGGGAAGCTGTGATGGACTTGGAAACTAGTGTATTAACCCTTCTGTCACCAAGTATTTATAGGAATTTGTTTATGGATATAGCTCTTCCACCCCCATCTGGTCAGGCAATAACTATAATGAAAGATAAACTGGCAGCAGACCATCCAACATATGCCCTGATATTAAAGAAGCAACGGGGGAGAGGATGTAAATTTAATGCTACATTATATTTTTGCAAGTTTTTCACCCTTAAAAAATCTAGGGGAAAATTCACCCCTGGTGTAACTATTGAAATCAGATCAATCACACCGGGGATGAATTTTTGTCCCCAGATACATCCATGTAATCCCAGTGAGTTCAATGCAGTTTCAATGGTGGAAATGAGGGCAAGAATTTAGCCTCTAGTTGCTTTGCTAGTCACACACACACCACAGCCGTCCTACAGATCTGGAGTTTAAATAGGAGAAAGGAATAAAGAAATAGCAGGAGAGGAAGATTCAGATAATTCTTGTTTAAAATGAACAAAAACACTGACAAACCGGTGCTCAACTCTTGAGATCTTCTTTTGGTGAATTTCCACCTAGAATCTAAGATGGAAAAAACCTGTTCACTGGTTTAACCCTATTTGTCAGCCACTGCAGGACTGTCTTCTGGAATGCTATCCTCTTTACAAATAAATTTCAACTGATTCTTTGATGTAGGTCTAAACTTGTGTTTACTAGATGGTTTTTTAACTGTTTTTCCCCCCTCACTCACTCTCTCTCTCTGTTTAAGAAGCTCTTGGACTTCTGCTCCTTCAACCACTCCCTCTGACTGTTTCATTTGATTTTCCAGTGTCAATGTGGAGTCTGGTGAACATCCTCAGTCTGTGATGCTACATGGTGACCAATCAGTTTCAGCTCAGAATTTGGCCTTGGGGAAGAAATAAAAAGAATTTTCCACTGGACTCTATTATTTTCCCTGACTGTTTTAAAAATCTTTCTAAAAATATCACTAACGATGAAATGTTGCACATTAACACCACTATTCACAACAGAGCACGCTATAGTATAGACATTTAACTTCACAGTGCAGACAAGACTGTGTTCTGCCACCAGCCCAGCTTTTCACTGTCCTGTTGAGGTCCCTGTCAGTCAGCTCCAGGTCTCTTTCCTTCTCATAGCTGCTCTCCCCAGTTTGTTTGTGGTTACCTCATAAAGGGTGTGGAGTCATAGGTGTAAGTAGTATTATACCCACTTCACAGATAAGCAAATTGAGTCTGCAAATCCCTACATAAACAAAACTCTTCACTGTTGTCAGTGGGGAGTTTTGCCCATGTGAAAATTGCATGATTGGGCCATAGGAATCTTCCCAAGGCTACACAGCAGGACCAGAAGTCTGGATTCTAGTTATGACCATTTGACACTACCTCTTTAGCAATATAATCTCTATTCCCTGAAACTAATGCTGTGGTAAGTGACAAGAGCCTTTGCTGGAAGCTGCCCAGGGAGAATTGCATCCATTCATACTATAAGAACTAGTTAGTAATGAGAAAACATCTTCCTATTTTATAAGCAATATATTATTTTGGCAAGTATGTCTAATCTTCTCCAGGTAATTAACACAACTAATTATGGAGGAAGCACTGCCTCCAGGAAAACACGAGTGAGCATGGAGAGACCTGCCAGGCCTGCATCTCCACAACCTATGGCTTTTGTAAAGCTTCAAAGCCGAATAATCTGCTTCCAACAAATTAATAAAAAGAAATCTTCTTTACTCTGCGGCTTCT